TTTTTATCTGTTGAGTTACTACAGTAGAGTATTAATAAAAAATTTATGATATGAAGTAACATAAAAACAAAAAAAAATACCACATGATGTAAAATACCAAATAATACAGGAAACTGAAAAAAAATCATTTTCAGAAAAAATGGTAGTTTCTACAGTCTTGCGCTTAACCCTCGGTGTGAAATACAAGCAAATATCATAAGTGGTTCATGGGATATAATATTGCATGTAAAACTGTAACCAATGCTGACATCCGGGTGAGTAGGATAGTCCTACTATTTTTGGAATGGTCAAGCTGTAATGGTTAAGATAAATCCGTTAAAATATAATTATAAGCTACCTTTGAATTAAAAAAGACTGTCCCAATATTTTTATCAATCAAGAACTATAAAATTATACATTCTTAAGGATTTCTATAGAGTTTTTAATGAAACGCAACCCTCACATGACCCAGCAACAAGAACTAGCAGCAAGGAGCCCAGGAGGACCGTCATGTGGATTAGATATATCTGAATAATTTGGGAAGTAATGTACAAAATTAAAAACAATTATGGCAAAATGTAAAGTTTTCTTGACTTTTGCCTGTGAACTCAAATAAATGGGCATAATATCAGGATAATTTTCCTTCCTTATCGTCGTGTAATAAGGGGTATGATCTGAATTTGGCTAGACTGAATTGTATGCGTCTTTTTTTAGCCTAAGTTACTCCCAAACTGTGTCTGTGGAAGTAGGCCTAATGATTATATACAGACATGATGTTTTGCACAAGTTGTTCATTGTGTTAAAAAGTGTTTTATGAATATACAAGATGTCCTAGTGGGCATCAAAAGTTATTTTGTCCAAGGGAGGCTATTTCATTTAATAGGTTGTCCAAGGGGTCTTTATTAGCATTATACCTTTGAACAATCTTACTTAAGCTCAGATCTACTTTCTCTTTACATGAAGATCTGATTTCCACTGTATTTGTTTCGCAATCATTTTGATAAGGGTTTCCCAAGAATTAAGCTATTATTAGCTATTACTAGCAATGCAGTCAAACCGTCCTTTACATGTATTTTTGTTAGAAAAAGAATGTTTGAAGTAATATGAAACAAATAAACTGGAAATAATAGACTCAATTTTTAATGTAAAATATTGTTTTGGCAGTTTACAGGGTCTGCAGGCTATATGCACAACGCCATGTTTGTTTTCCAAATCACTCAGAATTGATTTTCTAGCTGATAAAAAAAAGAAACAACATCGTTTTAAAGATTATGAAAGCTCGCCGCTGATTGCCTGTTTAAAAGGATATGAGAAGGTGACAACCTATTGCTGATAATCAGATCCTAAGACGTTGACATATGAAAGTTAATTTGGTAGTTTGTCCAAGGGGCTTGGGGGGTATTAAAACTTTTTGTCCAAGGGAGGTCATTTTGATCAAAGTCTCTACTATAGAGTGTCCAGGGGGGTCTATATTAGTGTTATACCTATGGAAGATGTCCTAGGGGGTCAATTTCAGTAGCTTGTCCAAGGGGGTATATTTAATGTTTTTGTCTAAGGAGGATCATTTTGAGCAGAAGTCTCTTCCAAAGGTTGTCCAGGGGGTCTATTTTTATTAGTATTATACCTATGGAAGATGTCCTAGGGGGTCAATTTCAGTAGCTTGTCCGAGGGTGGATATTGAATGTTTTTGTCAAAGGGGGCTTATTTGGAGCAGACGTCTCTTCCATAGGTTGTCCAGGGGGTATATTTTTGTTAGTAATATATAATGTACCTATGGAAGATGTCCTAGGGGGTCAATTTCAGCAGTTTGTCAATGGGGGATATTGAACATGTTTGTCCAAGGGGGGTCATTTTGAGCAAAAGTCTCTTCCATGGGTTGTCCAAGGGTGGAATTTCGATCAAAAGTCTCTTCCATAGGTTGTCTTTTGGGTTATTTTGGGCAAAAATCTTTTACATTTAAGGTCGTCCAAGGGGGTCATTTTGAGTAAAACTGTTTACATTGTGTTGTCCAAGGGGGTACCTTTGAGTGTTTGTCCTAGGGGGGGTATTTTCATCTCAGACCTCTTCCATAGGGGGGGTGCGGATATTTTCTGGAATAGCCCATTGGAAAAGGCAAAGCGCGTTTTCTATGACGCAGTCATAATCTGCCTTACATGTAATTAGATGCATTTTCATTAAGTTATTTCTCCAATTACTAGCACCATTCCGTTAAAATCGGCAATTATTGTTTGAGTCTGAAATTTATTTATTTCCGTTAACTGCGGGTATGTATAAGTTGCTAACCTATTCTGTGTCGTTATCAGCACGACATTTAACCGTTCTACAATCAGTGAGTCACAGTATCTGGGATTTAGACATGCACGGTCAGGATGTAAACGAGCGATTTGTGCACCACAATTGGCAAGCACACCACAAAAGATAGGGGCTTAAGTCAGTGACATAGATAACAATGTTATCTACATCTCAGCTTCAGTGGCCAAAAATATCTAAGTTTCTGTAATAAACAGACGTATGATAGGTTAAATGTTTTAATGCAAATCAGACTTGGTTCTTCCTTAAAAGATTTTTCGTTTGCATCTGCAAAAAGTGAGAAATTGAAGTTAACATGTGAAATCAAACTGAGATTTACTTTTGTAGTTTTTTTCTTTTTTAAAATTTGACCCTTTATAATTTCAAATGACTCCCATAGAGTTTTATACAGAGGGTCACAAATGACCCCCCAAAAATCTAGTCTGGCAGAAACACTGCAAGTCCTTTTTCTATCTGAAGCATTTCTTAACTTGTCCGTATGATATTTATATAGTTGATTCTTAAAAATTTCCACTTGTCTATACATGCTGTGGGACAACCTAGGCATTAGGGACAATCTGACTTTTAATACTATTTCCTCACTAAAGCCAAATAATGTTTTTCTGAGCAATAATTCTATGCAATTAATTAACAATAAAAGTTCTTTTATTCATAATTACAATCCAAATTCTATATCATTAAAATCAGATTTAGTGATGAATGATATTTTGATAGCCATATTACACAGTTATAATAGTATTGGTGATAACCAGCGGTAAACAACAACTAATTGACAGTCTCTATATGAACTAAGTAAATAATCGAGTGAATAACAAGAGTTGTTTCCCTTAGCTTTGAGTAAACTCACTATCTCTAATGCAAATTTAGCCTTTTTTAAACCACTACTTTGGGGCGATTTAATGTCCGATTTTAAAATTTATTACACCTATGAAAAGCTTGTGATCTTAGCTTTGTCTCAGTATATATTTCAACACATTGTTTGACACTGAAGGTATTTAAATTTACGGTTAAACCTACCTCAAGTCAGACCATTTTACATACGTTTTATACAGTGAGATACGCAATTGGTTATCTTTACTCGCAATTCTACTAATAAGAAAAGCCTGTCGTCTGCTATTTCGGAAACTGTCAATCCGTGTATTTTGTAAGGGGAAATGTAAATCAGAAACATTAATATACATTTAATGTAACTAAATTATCAGTTAGCTTGCATCTTTATAATTGTCATCTGCTGCATTTGTATTAGTCCGGGTCATTCTCAGCTTTAACCAGGCCTCAACAAATCCACTCGCCCGCTAGCATTTGCGAGTAAAAGTTTGGGTCGGGCGAGTAAAAAATTTATTAAACTTGCCCAACGTGGCTAGCAAGATTCTCCATATCCAAATGATGCTTCTCTAAATATTTAATATAAATAAGTTATTTGGTAAAAAAATCAAACAGCAGAGGTCATTTTAATCGTAATACTGTCAACCAAACCTGGAAACTGACCTTATGACTAAGTATAAACGGAATGACTAAGTATAAACGGAATGTGTATGATGAATCGATTCCATAACAACAGCAGCAAATTGACTATGTTTTATACATACGCATTGGGCATATTTGGTTTTATACTTAGCCATGAGGTCAATATTTTAGCCGAGTGTGTTCAAATTTGAATAGAAATAGTATTAAGTTGTGCTTAATGTGAAATATTTTTCATAAGTAGAAAATGTAAAAGTAGTTTTTTGACTTCACTTCCATGCAAAATACTAAATCACTATAATTGTACTAATTTCCAGTACAGCAACGGGAAAAAAACAACAGAAGGTTCAGGTAATTGATTAATGAGTTGTTTTACGAAAACTTTTCAAGTACATCAAAAATAAAATCTTTTGAGAAATAAAACTTAAAGCATATCTTGGGTATATTTACAATTGTCAATGAAATTAGCAAAATTGTAATAGTATAAAATAGAACTATCTGGGTCCAAACTACCTTATTGATTGATGCCAGGGCCCTCAGGTGGGAGAAATTCCTGTTTTGGAGAAAGAAGGAAATTTTGTCAGTTACTGACAATCTGTTAAGGGTCTTCTGCTTTTTGCAGATTAAATAAAAAAAAAATTAAAGGGGATTTGAAATTTTCTTTTAAAATTAGGTAAAAAAAATAAATACTAATTGGGAGGGAAACTTGGCCTTTTTCCATGAAATGAGAGTCTTGATTATGTTCACAAATATTGGCATAAAAGGGCTATTAAAATTGTAAATTATATATGAAATATAATAGACATCTTGATGGGTGAACATTTCAACATAATAAAATAACCAGTTTTAACTAGATTTTTAGTAAGTTTTAATCTCTTCTTTCTGTCATAATTGTTTTATTATTTGTGATTGATATCTTTTTACCATACTATACACACAATATCCTGTTTACTAATTACCCTGATTGACAGTTTTACAACTTAATGCCATAATCAAATCAATAAATCAATGTTTCACTGGCTTCCTGCAAATTACAGTTAATTAATTGACAGGAACTCAGACTGCCACTTATCAATATTTGCCCTCTGGGTGTGAAAAGGTCACATGGTTGACTGGTACTCTGAAATTACCAATGAAGGTGTCAAAGGTCACTCAGACTGGTGTACAAATTATATATATATACAAGGGAATTAGTTAAAGGGACATTGTTATCTGGTTGATAAATTTAAGAGGATTACATAACAAAAATTGGAGGGAAAATTGCACATTTGAATTTGTATCTACATTAACAGAAATTCAGAGGATTTTATTTTTAAATTTAAGTGTTTTAATTGAATTTTGATTTTAACAAAAATGCCTCCTTTAGGAAGTGATGGAAAGGCAGATACTTTAGGGACAAATATTGGAGATTTATTTAAAGGTTCAGCTAAACCAAAGGTATTGATATTTGATATTTAAAGTTTTAATTTTTTTATTGTGAAAAAAGTATATTTTTGTGGAAAAGTGCTTGAGATTGGGAAAAATTTTGTTGAGAATACTTGTGTTCTAAAAATGTACCCATGAAAGTGATAGTACGAAGGAATTGTCACAAAATGTCAAAACAATAATTTGCACAAAGAACACATGTAGAATCTATTTCTACATCCCCACAATGGATGGTACGTTATTGGGACTTTGGGAGATAGATACTTGTTGCATTATTTTTGAAGTAGTTAACAAGCGGTAGTAAATTAAATTGACAACAATGCAATCGTTATATTTCAGATGGCTGGAAAGGGCAAGAAGAGAAGCAGAGAATCAGAAGATAACCAAACAAAGAAAAGACAGAGAGGTATAGATCTAGGGTGATATAATGACATTTTCACGACTTATAATCTAAAATAGATAACTGTGTTATTGTTTCTCAAGTTCGTAATAGAAATCTTCAGTATTATGGGTGTTCCTAGCAGGATTTTATAATCGGATATATGGAAACAATTGTGAAACTCAGTTCTTAATCTTATTTTCATACAATTTCCTGCTAAGGAATAGTGTTATTGACTGGACAATTGATAAAAAATTTTACATTCATTGAGAATAATAAAAAAAGCTTTACATTATTTCAAGGTAAAGAATTGCTTTCTACAAAGAAATACTGTCTAAATTAATAGGATTGAATAATGAAATTAATGTAATGTGATTTTTTTAATTTTCAGTTCACCATCCGTGTCATGGTAGTGTAGGAGGCGTGGTTCTGGTATGTGGTGAGGGCGATGTGGGACAGCTGGGTTTGGGAGTGGATGTTATTGGGAGGAAACGCCCAGCACTTGTCACTATAGAAGATCCTGTTATTCAAGTATGTGGCGGAGGAATGCACACTGTTTGTCTGACTGAGAAAGGGGAGGTAATTATTGTCGATTTTCTTTGAACATTTTCAGAAAAGTAGCTCAGCTAAAATTTTATTTCACATTTCCCTTAAATTGAAATCATATGCAGCATGTTGCTTTTTAAATTCTAAGAATGTCTTCACAAAAACTATCAATGGCCCTGGCTATACTATTATACACAGGTTACTAAAAATGCAAGCTAAGAACATTTTATCAAATTGTCATAAATTTATCGTAGACATGTACCGTCACTGCCTTCTTTTGGCCTAAAAATGCCCCTTTAAAAAAAAGGGCCACAAAAAGACCCTCTTAAACATATAACCAGAAAATTGCGACACTTATCACATCCTTTATATTTTAAAGTTACATTAAATAAATTTCATAAAAACAGAAAGAAATAGCGACATTTCATTAATAAATTGGGTTTCACATAGACTCCAGATCTTTTTTTGGTGTCCAGACAACCAAAATAACTTTTTAGCTCCACTATTCGATAAGAATAAGTAGAGCTATTGTAGTCACCCGAGCGTCGGCGTCGGCGTAACCACTTATGTTAAAGTTTTTGTAATAGTTTAAATATTTTCAAAGTCCATTGACATATGGCTTTGAAACTTTGCACACTTGTTCACCATCATTACCCCAACCTGTAAACAGGAGGAGGTAACTGTATCAAGCATTTTGACAGAATTATGCCCCTTTTTCGACTTAGAATTTATGTTAAAGTTTTTGTAATAGTTCAAATATTTTCAAAGTCCATTGACATATGGCTTTGAAACTTTGCACACTTGTTCACCATCATTACCCCAACCTGTAAACAGGAGGAGGTAACTGTATCAAGCATTTTTTTTACAATCAAGCACTTAGAATAGTCAAGCGTTGCTGTCCTACCGACAGCTCTTGTTTAAGCATAAAATCTGCAACCATGTGTGGCGAAATCGGAAGATCAATTTCTGTTTGCATGTGAAACTTCGCCTTCAGATCACCCATACATCAAAATTAAAATAACAAACTTGACTATAAGTAGCAGTCCTAATTTAACGGTATATTTCGGCATTGTAACGGATGTTTTCATACAAATTTAATCTTTTTGATGAGATGATTACTTTTTACCTGAACGCCAGGTCTAGTGCACCGTGAAGCTAAAGCGGTAAAAGTGTGTTTGCACAAGAAAATCTCATGTTTTCTGTGTTCCGGATAGCAACTTTAACATTGTGACGTAGAGCATACACAAGCTGATTATAATCTTCATTTGCATGTTAAAATTCCTATACGAACTTTAGTGTTACCGTGGGGTTTTCCGTTAAAATTTGTAATTTATGAACAATATTTGATGAGATTTACAACAATACTGTTAAAAAGATTAATGAAACTGTTGAATGCTTGGTTTTTAGGCCGACGGCAAAATATTTATACATATTTATTTAATGTTACTTTAATAATATTTGTTGCAAAATTCCTGTTTCATCACCCATGTGTATGTTTTTTGTTCTGTTTTAGTTTAACTTGGATATAACTCAACATTTATGTATATTTTTCTTTCAAAAAGGTGTATACATTTGGATGTAATGATGAGGGAACACTAGGTAGAGACACATCAGAGGAAGGTAGTGAGACGGTACCTGGTAAAGTAGATGGTTTGCCGAAGATTGTATATGTGAGTGCGGGAGACAGCCATACAGCCGCCCTGTCAGAGGATGGTCGTGTGTTTGCATGGGGCAACTTCAGGGTAAGTTTGATGTAATTGTGTTTTATTTTATATTTTTAACATAATTTATAAATAAGATGAAAATTAACTTTTAACATAATTTTTGGGACTGTCGTGTCTAAAATTTTGGTGTATCAAGAAGAAAAGGTAGTCAGTTAACAGTATAGAGCCCGGTCAGACTGTACACCCACTTCTTAAAGGAGGGGTAAAAAAATAGATTTGGCCTTGTCGGACCAGGTTTTGATGTCTATCTGTAGCCTGAGAAGCATTTAATATGTATGAACGTCCATGTGCTTTAGATACATTTCTTGTAATTTCTAGAAAATGTGACACACATCAAAATAAGTGTACTTTAGTGTAACAAAATACAGGAAATCTGCAATATTTCCATATATAAAGTAATTCTAAGTGAATGTACATATATTTCAGTGTGTTATTTTTCTGCTATGTTACAGGATGCTAGTGGCTCAATGGGATTCACAACAAATGGTATACAGAACACACCAATGCATTTGTTGGAAGGGGAGACAATTGTGAAAATAACATCAGGAGGAGATCATTTAGTCTGTTTGTCTGATGTCGGTGAAATATTTACTTGTGGTATGTGTATAAGACTGTTATTATTTCAGTTTCTTTTGTAAGATTATATATAATATGGTTACTTAGTAGAATTTAAAATGGATCGGCAGTGGCTCTACTGTCCAGTTTGTGCCTGAAATAATGCACTGAAAGGCACCAAAAGGTCTAAAGCTGGAAGGTCGCCATATGACCTACCGTATTCGTTACAACCAAAAATAAAACAAATCAACGGTAATTTAATCTTTTTACTTCTGTCATGAAAAGAACCTTAAACATATTAAGATTGCAAGGGCAGTGGTGATTGGCAAGTGAGAAAATTTTGTTGCAATTATAATGATGGGGTTACAAAAGAAAATAAAGCAATATTATTAACAGTTACCTTCACTTCAGAAAATGAAAATAATATGATAGCAACATAATTTTCTACTTAAAAACATAAACAACTATTCTTTCATGGTGAATATTGCATGTTAATAAAAGTTGTATGTTGACATTTACAGGATGTGCTGAACAAGGACAGCTAGGTAGAGTAGCTGAATGTTTCTCACAAAGAGGAGGCAGAAAAGGATTAGGTGAGTGCTGAATTTAACTACAGGTTGATAATAACAAATGAGCCGCGTCATGACAACCAACATAATGGGTTTGCGACCAGCATGGATCCAGACCAGCCTGCGCATCCGCGCAGTCTGATCAGGATCCATGCAGTTCGCTATCAGTTTCTCTACTTGTTGGTTTTGTCATGACGCGTCTCAAATCAGAAAATTGAAATGTTCCTTTGGATATATTTTGCCTAATGTTATTGTTTACCACTTGTGTCTGAGGCATCAAAATTGCAATCACTGTTAATCTGTGCAAGATCGCAAGAGGCAACTGATTGGGTTTGAATTACTGGTGTCTATGCGTCTCTTAGTTCCAGCAGGTGAGGTGGTTTTAAATCCTGACGTTTGTAACACCCGAGGTTAGCCAAAATCTTCTTTCCTGTTCTGGTGCCATATGAATTCAATTGTGTTGGTGAACTATAAAACCAAGCAAAACAAACAAATCTTAAAATATTATGTTTCTTAAATTTGGATAATTGACATGGTGTGAGTAAGAAGAAGGCAAAGAGTGGCTGTGATGGAATTTGTGATCAAAATTTGGCTTCTTCCCGTGTTATGAAGAATGCAGGTAGAAATTTGTACAAAATAGTAAACTTCATGCACAAAACAAAAGTGTAAAAACTGCTGTACAAAACATTAATAATTTTTAATTATTTACATTCTTAATTTTTCAGCATCTATTTTAACACCCGAAATTGTGAGATTTAGGAAAAAGAAATCTGTATTTTGTGATATCTGGGCTGGTCAATATATCACATTTGCGAAAGAGAAGAACACTGGTGAAATATATGCCTGGGGCTTGAACAATTATTTCCAATTAGGTGAGTGATAAATTTAGAACTTTGAATTTTATGTTTATTTATTTTGTTATTTAGAAATACATAAACAGTATATTTCCTGAAATTCCCTGAAAAATTCATAGATGTTTAAAAAGTATAATTAGCCAAGTTTGATTATCAGAAGAACACCCATTTCTCATTAAGAGTTTTTTCGTAATATGAATTTTGAAGATTTGGAAATGTAAAAAACTCAGGAATGATTTGGACCCTTAGGCTGAAAAAGAATTGTGTGTCATTTTAACAGTTCACACAAAAAATATTAACAGTTCACATTAACAAGAAAAAATCATGTTTAGGGTGTTTTTGGGACTTGCATTTTGAGTTTTACCTATTTCAGGTCTATAAATAGGATTGATTTACATCATTTTTTTAAAAGCAAGTAGACTATGTAAAAATAGTTATATTTTACATTGTTTTTTTTTGTGTGTAGGTTTTAGTGAAATGACTAACAGATTTGTGCCAGAGAAAGTGAAATCATTTGACAAGAAGAATTGGACATGTTTAGAAGGTGGTCAACATCACACTATAGCATTAGATGACAAAGGTATGTATAATATATAGCTGTTACTGGTAGAATTAGAAACTAGAAAAATATTATAATTATTTTTTCTATTATGGAATATAATGTTTCTTTACTGTAAGTTAAATATGAGAAGTGCTCAAAACAGTAAACTGTGTGAAGAATAGTTATATTTTGAATTTTCAATTGAACCTCACTCATACATAGTATTCATGTATATTTCAGGAAACGTGTATTCTCTGGGCAGGGCGGACTATGGTCGTCTAGGGCTTGGTGAGAATAGTGGCGAGGTTAAGGAACCGACGTTAGTTAAGTTGGAGAAGAAATGTACCAGTATATCTGCAGGCCAGTCTGTGTCATTTGCTCTCCTTGAAGATGGTGAGTCACTGTTTTGTTGTTGTGTTGATCCTCTATTATATCTATAATATATAATATATAAAATGAGGGAGACTAAAAAAGTGTTGGAGCACCCAACTAAATACTGTTTTCGGTATATATTAGAGAAGGCGCTTGAATGATTAAATGCTAAAATCTCGTCTTTTCACTTGCTGAAATGCACTACCTCTTATTCATCTCTTGATTTATGTAAATTCTTAAACGAAAAAAGTAAAAATCTGCAAATGAGGCGATATTTTTCTACTTTATGGTTATGATTTTGCAAGCATCTAGGAGGTATTATCCAGCACTGTAGTGAGTTGAATCCATAAAAAATCCATAAAAAATAACCTGCAAAACAAATTTCTATTTGGTGAGAGTTAAAATCAAATTTGCCTCAGCCTGGGCACTTGCCCTACATTTTGAACTTTAAGTTAGTTTGTGGTTAAATACATTCGTGCCCACTCATTCCTCAAGAAATGCATTGAAGCCTTTCTGAAATGTTTATTAACAATATGAGCTGGAATAAAGTGATTGAAGCAATTAGCTTCAGCCTAAAATTGAAACAATTTTAAAGCTGAAAATACACATGCAGTAATAATGTGCCATCAGGTTTTGCATTTAATATTGGGTGGGTTGGGGTTCATGTAAGGTTAAAAATTAAATATTTTGGATATATTTATGTTAATGAATTGAAGGTGATTATTTTCATGATTGATTTTCCAGGTACTGTTGCATCATGGGGTATGGGTACCAGCAGTCAGCTAGGTAATGGTGAAGAAGATGATTCATGGGTACCAAGCAAGATGGATGGGAAACAACTTCAAGAAAGGTATTATATAATTATGTGCATATTTAGAACCATTAGGTTGTTGTAGAATCTTCAGGGCAATAATATTTCAGTATCAGGATTTTAAAATAAGTGGCTCTTTGTTCAAAAAAATATTACTTTTGAATATACAGGTTATAATGAGAAGAATTAAGAAACAGTGTAACTGTAACATCTTTATCATAATACCTTTTCCCAGTCTCACCATGGCTCAGATTTCAAGACCCATTCCCAATTGCAAATATGCTTATTTTTTCCCCAATATTCAATGGAACTGAAATTCCCCCTATCAAAACTGACAAATTTGTTCATTCCAGCATAATATCGGAGAGATGTTTCCACAAATTTCTTTTGTCAAAATTTGTTATGCTTTGATTGATATTTGCATCAATTGGTTTTTCCTGTAATGACTAGGAAAAGACCTGTTTTATGTTAATATTTTATCATTTATTTTTTCAGGAAAGTGATACAGGTATCTGCAGGTGGTCAGCATACAGTGTTACTAGCAGTGGACAAATGATAATGATAGTGGATTTTAGCGTGTACATAATCTGTTTTTATCTCAAGTGCAGCTACTATCTTCCATACATTATACAAGGAATTTCAACCGGGAAATTTCAACCATATAAAAATATAACAAGTTTTGTGTAATGAACTTTACATTCTTTGATATTTGAACTGTTAACTGTTTATGGTTTTCAGTTTCAAATTTATTACTACCATTGAATAGGAAATAGTAATGAAAAGATTTGTGTAGACTGCATCAAATCTATACATGAGCTTGTGAAATACCACTGAATAGTAACGAAATTGATTCCATGAATTCTATAAAGTGTAAACTTGTGGCCAAAATAATTTTTTTGGAAACCATTCAGATGTCGATGATTTGGGAAAGATCTGCATGCAATTCAAAGAGGCCATAACCAATGAAGAATGAATGGATAAAGAAGAAAAATTGAAGAGTGTAGAAATTCATGGAACTATGTTTGAAATTTATCTTGACAGAAAAATCATTGCTCTGATAAAATAACAGAATATTCAGGTACTGAATGTTAAATAAACTGAAAAACCAGTAAGTTGTGTGCAAAATTTCAGATAATTCTTTCTCTGTTTTACCAGAATCATTATTCTAACTGCGAAAAAATTACTCAAAATGGAAAAATGTTGCAATGCTTTTCACTCATATCAACTTTGAATAGCTCACAAATTTCAATTTATTTCTGAGTATAATTCTTAATTATCTTTTGCATATCTTTCTGTTTGAAGTACCTAAGCTGTTAGAAATTGAAGTTTTTAGTTTTTGGACCTCAGTGGATTTCCTTTTTCTGTTTCTAAATGATTCATTCACACACATGTTTTGACATCATTTTGCAAATCATTTTATTATTCAAATATTTTTTTTGCTGTTAATTTTGATATAAAGTACTGAATTTGAAGAACGAATGAAAAATAAATCATGTAAAACATTACAGCGATCTAGTTCTGTTTGGCAAAAAAAACTACATCATGTAAACTATCGTGACTTGGGCAATAAATCTGACCATATCTTAGTTGTTTTGGATTAATATTTATTTCTTTCTTTTCATAATAGATATTTTGTTACTCAGAGGTAAGTTGTATTTTGTATTGAAGACAGTAGCTTAATTTTTTATACTGCTCAATATGTTTTATCTATTTTCATACTTTGTCACACTTATTTTTAAAAAGTAAACAAACACTGTATATAGATATTTTAACATGAGAACTGCAATTTTAACAGTGCCAGATTTGTAAAATAAAGAAATAGAATTGATAAGGAGTTTGGTATTATTTGAACGGTTTTAGAATGCAATGTATTAAATGAATGTACTTGTAATACTAGATAGTAGATGTAGAGCTCTTGCTATTTTACTATATGAATTATTTATATATGTTGTATAACTGTATAATTAGTATATAAGTCAATTTCATTGGTCTGAATTGTTTATCCATTAACCTGTTGGAATTGAAATTCACTAGTATAAATTTTGCCACCAGTATAGAGCCAAGCCAGCTTGCACATTTTTGTTGTTGACCAGATTTGCCCCTGGTGGGGGAGAGGTAGCCTTTACAGGTTGAGGCATCAGAATTTTGGCCACTGTCTAACCCTACGTGATCGTAAGAGGCAACCAGTTGGGTTCATGTTTTAAGATGGTTTTGTTTTAAGTCTTTCATCCAAGGTTAGCCATGAAAATCATCTTTTCCTGTTACGGTACCATATGATCTAAACTGTGTTGGTGTGCTTTAAAACCATATGAAAAACTGACTAGACTCTATACTGTTGGCCGAATAACTTTTGATTTTCATCTTTGTCACCAAAATTTAATAATGGACAGCTTAAATATGAAAAGCTGGCTAAGTGCATTCCAGAAATTCAGCAAGTTAAGGTAAAAGTCCATTTATTGACGGAAATTATTTTGGTTATGAAATTTATCATAAAAATGATTTTACTTTCATGATATAAAGGTTCGAGTTATAATAAGCATAACTTTATGACATGTTTTGAAGAGAAAAATCTTGTTGGCATAATATATCTTTATATATTTAAGCTAGTCTTGACATGCCATTTGCCAAAACTGTTGTCAGTTGAAGAACAAGTGATTAACATTTTATGGTTCATGATTTTGATGCACAAAAACTTGGATAAACATTTAAGATGGAGATTAATTATTAAAAAAAATCAGGTGCTTTTCATGTTGGAAAACTCAGGGTTGCATTACTCATGCTGTTGTCAAATTGAAAAGTTGATGTCTCATTTTTCTTGTTTCTTAAAACGCTGTAAACATTGTAAGTGCAATAATCTGAATTCACAATGTGCCATGCCAAAACATGTTAACATTTTCAATATTTCATAAACACTCGATCTTTTAGTGGTTTTATTTCCAGACAACTCTAAAACTAGCATATAGCACGTGACTAAGGTAACAATCTTTTTTTAATGTAATAAAAGGCCTCTGTGACCGGAGACAACTTGACTACAACCCCCACCCCTCCCGAAAGGTTTGGGTTCAGATTTCACTGTTAATTTTATGATTTTTCTATAATTACAAGATATATTAGTAAGTTGAAAGGATGGTAGTATAATCAACTTAGGTGACTGGATCTGCATGAAATATAAACTGAATGAAACCTTAGGTCTTTCTCCACCAATAAGACTGTGTTCACAAATTTGTTTTTATATGCACTTGTTAATTCTTGTAACTTTCTTAAAGCTTCTGTTATGAAGACAGATGAAAAAGTAACTTGTAATTAGTTAGTTTAGTTAGTTTAGATAAGTAAGTTGTAGTGTAGAATATACTGGCTAATTATGTTGTATTTATTGGTTATGTTCTCATTTATTGCTAATTTGATACATACTTATATAAATGACTTAAAAATATGATCTACATGTATTGGTATTCTGATTTTTGTTTACAAAAGCTGAAATTTAGAATAGACTTTCGTCAGATAAATTCAACTTAATTTTGATGTGGCTCAATGAAAACATGGATTATTAAATGGAGAGATTATTTTTTTAATATTCAGAATTCAAATAGCATAAAGAATGTTATGAGGAATGTTCAAGCATAATATAACAACACAAGGTTCATAACAACACAAGGCTAACTTTCTAGTAATATACCATATACTGATATCGGAATAAAGAACCTTTTTTTTTTCCAATATACCTTTTAACATGTAGTCCATTTTGTCATGACCAGTCAAAAATATTACTAACAACAATGTTGTCATCATTTCAGAGTAATCATTTAATATTTGATCTCAATAAATGTTGTCAATGTACAAGTAGTGTTTTTGTAGAATGTATGTGTCAGAAAATAAGAAAATTATTACTATTATCAAGTTTGAATTATTATTATTAAACTTTGGTCACTCCTTTAAAAGTAAATGTGTGATTTTGTTTGTAAGAAGAAATTGGGAATAACTTTTTATATTAATCTACAGAAATGTATGGTTTTTCACAAAAGTTTACATGCTTGTTTTATCACTATTTCATACTCTTGAATGAAGATTTTGCTTATCTTATGAGTCTTGGCAAAGCAATTTTTGTAATATTATAGGTCAGTTCTTCTTTGTACTTTACCTGTATTTTTTCTGTACTTTTCTGTATTTTCCTATACTTACCAGTATTTTTCTGGCAAAAAAGATAGGGACTATTCAGTGAGTACAGACAGTTATCATTGGACTTAAAATGCTAAGCTGTATCTATGGAGTCTGTTAAAAGAGGAGAGAACTCATACCAAATTTATACTTTAATGCTGTTTTCAATTACTTCCCTTGAATTTGTACATTACTCACGTTTGAATTACCTCCCTTCAATATGTAAATTTTTTTCATACATTGAATAATTTCTCTTGAAATTGTACATTATTTTTATTTTGAATTACCTCTATTTATTAAGTTATGATTACCTACATAAAATTTGATAAAATTCTGACATTTTATGATGGCATAATTTTGCTTGTTTACCTGTTACCTGTCTGGTTGAACTTTTCTGACATGTATAGTATAAGCATTGTATTTAAGATGGGATATATCCAATGTATTTCACAAGTTACATCTGTGCAACACATTGCTTTTAAACTTAATAGTTTCCCCTTACATATAAACTTATTATTCTCAACAAAAAATTTTTATGCACATATGATGAAAAATCTGTTTCACATCATGACTTTTATTCAAGTACTTACTAAATGTCAATCTTTAACCAAGTGAATTCCTTAACAACCTCTGTATAGTGACACCCTCTGGTTGCTGCTGGGAGGTTGCTGCTTTACAGCAGTTATATTGTAGAGTTTTACTTTGGGAAGAATTGATACTTTTGTTGTAGAGGTGGTTGCTCTGCGGAGGTTGCACTGTACATGAATTTGCATAATTGATGGTTTTCACATAGTAATTATTACCTCCCCTGGCTGCCAATTTGGGGGTCATTCCCAATATATCATGCTTAATTAACATAAGATAAAATATAAATCTTCATGATTAAATTCTAGCTTTTTGAAAACTGAAATATCGTGTAAATATTGGTGCTATAATAATATTTGCTGCATATGCATATAATAATTTGACAATCAATTATAATCAGCTGTTTAAATTGATTTTTCATATTTTGTCAATGTTTTAATATAGAATATTGACCCCCAAAATGGCTGCCAGTTTTTGGCAAGGGAGGTAAAAAATCGTCAAAATCTAGAACTATTGATTTACTGTTTACTAATACTGTGTTCTTTTTATTCAGCAGTTAATATAGTAAAAGTGTTTTCTATTTCTGAGTAAATGCTCCAAGTGTATTAATACAATTAAAACACATGTACTAGTTATTTACCTTTTAGCTAAAGATAAACACATTTCAGCTTGGATTTCCAGAGAACTTACTAGTTAGTTTAAATGTAATTGAAAAGTTAATAGCTTTAAAAGCATTTTTTAACAATGATGTATGTACTGTGCCGTGGTCTGTACTAATACATTTTTTTGTTAATATTTTAATGTAACAAAAGAAATGGTAAGAAAGAAATGAATAAAATATTCAACAAGATTCCTTTGTTGTTATTATTTGTTTTTAGGAATTTTGACAGTCTTTCATAATGTATTGATTAAACTGCAACCATTTGAGGGTAGTTCTATTAATTTATTGTAGTAATTATTGAAATTTTATTGATAAAGATTTTAATTATTCATGGCTTGAAACAATGGAATTTTAGACTATTGGCAATTTTGAAATTAAATCCTTTTGAAATGCATCTAAAAATAGTAATAAATTAGATGTCAGTTTGAATAGATTTATATCCTCAAGGTATATATATATATATATATATATATATATATATATATATATAATATATATATATATATATATATATATATATATATATATATAAATGAAAGGGATCAAATATTTAACACATAATTCATTAAAGTCAGGTTGACTTGTGTTTGAAATTATAAGCTTATTTCCTGGAACCAATTTATAACTAAGTAATGAAACAACAGCTTGCTCCTAACTGGTTTTGAATGCGGTCAGCCAACCTTAGATTACTATTCGGGGGGGGGGGGGTCGAGTGGTTAAGGTCGTTGACTCTAAACCACCAGTCCATTACCAGTTCGAACCTTGTCAGTGATATAAAACATATTTTTATATATGACTAAAGCAGTGTCATTGCGACTTAAAAACAACATTCTCGGAACAAGCATTATATGAGCCGCGTCAGAACAAAACCAACATAATGGGTTTGCGACCAGCATGGATCCAGACCAGCCTGCGCATCCGCGCAGTCTGATCAGGATCCATGCTATTCGCTTACAGACCCTATAACAAGTAAAGAAACTGATAGCGAACAGCATGGATCCTGATCAGACTGCGCGGACGCGCAGGCTGGTCTTGATCCATGCTGGTCGCAAACCCATTATGTTGGTTTTGTCGTGACGCGGCTCATATATAAACGATCGATGATTGATAGTGACATCGGCAAGAATGTGTGTCAGGTAACAAAACCGATATATCTTTTATCTGGGATGATTCTCGTATTGCATTTATTGATCACGTGTCATTTGAAAAAAGGAAGAAAAGTATTTCACGTCATCAGATCCCCCCCCTTAATCTTGTTCTTTAATTTCTTCTGACGTATAAGCTTACTGCACAAATGAACGTTAACTTGGACAAGGAGTAGTTTTCATCTTTCTTTAAAAACGTTACTTTTAAACGTATTTTAATCACTGTTTATTAACCTTGGACATTGTTTTTGATCTAGTTTACAATTAGAAATGAAAAGCAACTTT